CCATATTTATCACGTAGAGAGGGAGGTAGGGAGGGAGGGCTGAAATCCAATGTCAGGCCCCTCTGGCGGTAGGCCAGGCTGGGTTTGGCGGCTGCTCTGTGCCCTCTGGCTGGCATCCCAATCATGGTGGGGAGGTAGGGAGCCAGGGATCCGTAGAGTCGCCGCCTAGAAGCAGGCTGTAGGACAGTGGTGCTCACACTGAGTATGCATCAGAATAACCCGCAGTGCTTGTGATATGTTCATTTTCCCAGGTCTCACTATCAGCGATTCTGATTTCATAGGTCTGCCTTGTGATCCAATCTGCATTTTTTAATAAGCACTAGAATTGACGCTGACGAAGGTGGTCTTTGAGCCCCAGTGGGATGAGGAGAATACATTCCGTGTTATTCGCCCTCTGCAGAGATACCGCTCAGGATGTCTTCCAGGATGAAAGCTGGGGCTGTTTCCCTGGTGACCAAGCCCCACTTATTAAGAGAAAACACAGGGAGGACACACCTTCCTAGACATTTGAACTGCCGTCCCTGAATGTCGTGTGGAAAAACACGACAAGGACCATTCCAGTTCTACATTTTGTTAAAAAATAAACAGAGAAGGGCCCTAGCTCACGAGATAGTAACACCAGAGTGAACTTGCCTGTGTCTCTAGATAATAATTCAGAGGTGGAAATAAAGAGCTGTGGTTTGGGCTCATCCCTGTGTTTTGTCAGGAGGCCTATATCCATGCAAACCCAAATGAGGGGCTTCTGCAAGGTCCAGGTTTCTATCTAAATGTGACTACAAAGAGCCCTTCACCCCTTAATGCATGATGCAAATACAAGATGATTTTTACCATCCATAAGAGCCATTTCCAGTTGATAATGAAACAGGACTGGAATCAAAAATAGGAAAGCAAATTGCCTGACTTTGGAAAGGAATGTCATAGAAATGGCTTTCGAGTGTTTTGTTTTGGTTTATCTCTTTATATTTTCTACTCCTAAGAGCCTAAGCTGAGATATGCCATCCATGCTGCTCATGTCTGAGTATCGATAAGAGTCCAATCAAAAGTTAAACAATTGAATGTGCTAAGATCTTGAATTGAGTGGATTGGCCAAGCCTTGTGTCTCTTAGTGTTGTTGTTTTGTATAGGGTGTCACCAGAGAAGGTGGCCTGCTGCTGAGTCCTGGGTCTTCAGGAATGCGGTGAGTCCAGGGATGTGTGCAATGAGGCTGCCTGTGGCCAGAGGCCCTAGCTAGGCCAAGGTTAGGGACTAGAGCTACCCTAGAATCTAGGGGGTGAGGGAGGAGCAACTCAGCCAGCCTGGGTCTCCCCTCAGCCCTGGATAGTCTCATCAAAACAGGCCACACTGTCAGCATCACTCATGGGCATCACACTTGGGATATTAGTAAAGGCATGCATTTCACAATTAAACTAAACCATCCGAGAGGAGGAGAAAGAAGTTGTACCATGCATCAGTCTTGCCTAGTTACTCCACCCCCAGGGTCTGACAGGGATGCAGGGCTGACTGGGAGCCCTCGCCCGGGAAGAGGAGCAGGCAGGGAAAGTGGGGGGGATGGATTCCTGACACAAAGCTTCAGCCCCTAGAACATTTTGATTATGAGAACACTTACTTTTCATTCATTTCCTGTCACCTGAACACTCCTAGAGATTCATAATGGGCCCTAAATTGTTGTCTATGTTTATGTAAACATAGGAAGGGGGACACATTTAAATAACATGTGCAAATGTTGATATGGTTGAGTAGAAAACGTTATGAATGTGTTAATGACTCTTGTGAATTAAAATGAATATGATCTAAAAGGGTAAACACAATTCTAATTTGCTAAGGCAATTAGTAAATTTCCCAGTGATCGTTAATGCCTTCCTTTCATAGCAGGTGGCGGTAGGAGCATTTATCATGGCCATACATCACAGTGATTTATGTAGACTCCCCTCTTACTCTCTAAAGTGCACATTTCCAGGCAATACTGTTTCGTGGTGGTTGTTTTTGGTCCTTGATTCTTTCCATAATATCTCACCCTGGGCTTTGCATGCCTGCTAAACAATAATAAAACGAAGGAAAGCATTTAGACTGAAGAACAGTAAATTCTTCTCACCACAGACGATCTTCTGGAGCAACATTCAAGTGGAAGGGTTGGGAACTGCAACCCTGAAACCCTCGTGACAAGAAGCAGTGACATAAGGCAGGACAAAGGATTATCCAAGACTGGCCGCCGTTGCTATGTGTCAGTTATGTGCATTTCCTTCACTGCGTACATATTGGGTCTTCTCAACGTTCTCCAGAGGTGGGTATTTTTACAAATTTCATGTATTTTCCGAAACTGGGGTTCTGCCAGTATAAAGAATTTGCCCAGCGCTCACATTGAGTGATGGTGGAGCCGCCATACAAGCTCAGAGCTGTGTGCTGTGCCTTATTGGGCTTTGGAGCCAGGGATCTCCTCTGTTTGGCAATCAACTTGGGCTTATCCTAGGGCTTTCTTAAAGCATCATCCTTTCCCACTTGCCCCGTTGCTCTTTCAGGAAGCGAGAAGACAATCTGGTAAATGCAAGGTTTTGAAATACATTTTCCCACTTGTCCTGTTGCTCTTTCAGGAAGCGATGAGAAGACAATCTGGTAAATGCAAGGTTTTGAAATACAATTCTGGGGTTCAGAGGTCTGAAGAGAGCTGACTGTGAAGGCTGGTAGCACTTTCAAGCAGAGGACGTTGTGAACTTCAAGAGTGCTGAATTGGTGTAAGGCACTGGTTCTCAACCAGGGGTGATTTTGTCCCCTACCCCCACCCCCAGGGCATATTTGGCAAATTTTAGAAACATTTTTGGTTGTCACAATTGGATATGTGTACTCCTGGCATCTAGAGGGTAGAGGCCAGGGATGCTGCTAAATATTCTACAATGCACAAGACAGCCCCACATGACACAGAATTGTCCTGCCCCAAATGTCACTAGTGCCGAGGGTGAGAAACTCTGGCATGAGGGGTTGCTATAGTTCTTATAATTTTGGAAGCTAGTTTTTTGGGGGGCTTTAGCTAAATTGATGGTAACTCAGGGAGTGTGGGTTTAGAATAGATACAGGCATATGAAACTGGTCGCTTTTGTTCCAATGTTGACTTTCCCTCCGGTATGAGTGAATCACTTAAAGGTGGAGGGTGGACTAATTTTACTTCTTTCTGTCCCAACAGAGACATCTGCATCCAGAAGACAAAGTACAAGGGCTTAGAAGCTCCACCCTCTGGAAAAAGGACGTAAGACGTGAAGGGAAGGGGTGAGACCGCTTCAGAGGAGTGTCATGTAAGAAACATCTACACCTGCAGAGGATTTTCATGAGTTGATTTGAGCCAAACTGACGATAATTGCCGGGAAGCAAAATCTCAACAGATTGAGAAAATGCTCCAGAGAAAGGCAGTTTATTTTATACATTAGAATCAAGGGAGGAGGTGTAAGGAGGGTTACATGAAATCCACTGGTGGTAGATTAGGGACGGGGTAGAAAGAGTAAAATGGAGACACACACTTCGTTCCCACGGGTGAGTGTAAGACAGTTAACAATGAGCATCTACAGCACATAGAGATGGTATTTGGGGAACAAGATAACAATGAGGGGTTCTGGGGTCAAGTACTCTGGTGCAGTGGGTGGGCCCTCTGGGGTCGGGAAAAAGAGATTACTCTAATATTCCAAAGATATGTTATCTCAGCTGCAAAAAGACAATAGAAGGGCTTGTTTAAGGTAAAAATTGACCCTTGTAAAGGAAGCTAAAGGCCTAGGCTGTGACTACCCTCCATAATCCACTCTTAGTTAGGAATTGTTATGTTCAGACCATCCTATGTGGCTACTTTCAGTCTCTGAGTTTGTAGGGACCCCCATGCAGGCCTCCCCTGAGCTTATCAGGTTACAAAGGCTCTCCCCCCCTCCCAAGGTGGTCCAAGTTGACTTTCATTTCAATGAGACTTACTGCTGCGACTAAAGATTTCATGTAACTTTTAAGCTTCTCAAATGTTTGTTACTTTTGTGATCCTGGTGGAAATCCTGCAATTACTAGTATTTGTATATATTTTTACTCCTAAAATGAGGTGAGGAGCCCTGAGGGTGTTCATGTTAGGAGGGAGAGAGTAGGGTCCCAGTCCAGTAGCTTACATTCTGTACTGGGAGAGTCAGACAGAGAAGGGACAGGGAATTGTGGCTGAGAAAGCAAGAGTGGAAAGGGGTGCAGTGGGGGCCAGGCATTGAGTGTGCCTGGGGAGTGACCCTGGCGTGAGGGCTATATTTTCTGACCCTCCAACCCCCAGAGACCCCGGTTGGTTGGCCTCCACTCCACCCTACTGCCCTCAAGATGGCAGCCCCAGCTCAGAAAGCAGGCGGCGAGGCAGCTCTTTGAACCAGGCTGGTCCCTTTTCTGAATGCCTGGGACCCAGAGAGGGGTCGGAACTCTCCCCACTCCCCCCAGCTCCACAGCTCCCAGCAGCATGGCCCGGGGGAGCTGACCGCGGTGCTGAACCTCCTCTTTGGCGGGGCGCGATCCGCAACGTAGGCTAAGGGCTCAGTGGGTCCTGGGGTGGGCGAGGGCCGAAGGTCTGCGGCCAGCTCCAGGCTCTACATTTGAAATCCCTGCCGGGACCCCCTACGCTACTCCCTTAACCCCAGCCTGGACTCTACGCAGGATCCAGCTTAAGGACGGGCCCCTCATCTTTCTCCCACACCCCGTGGTGTATCTCAATCCCCACCCCACTTCTTCCTTCGCTCCCTCCTAGAGAACTGGCTCCGCGCTCCCCTTGTCCGCCCCACCCTTCTCGGGAGCCGGACTCTCCTAGGGCGCAGCAAGCTCCCGCCCAGGGGTGTCCACCCTTCCTTCCTTTTCTGTTTCCACCCGCCCCTTCCCTCTAGTTGTCTGAGCACCGAGCCTGAAGGTTTTCGCTCCGCCCCTATTTCCCATACAAGGGCGCGCTGGAGTGGGGGCGGGGCAGAAGGGAGGGGCTCGCTCCCAGTCCCCCTCAAAAGCTGCGAGCCCGCTGGCAACTCCTGGATCTGTTCAGTTCAGCTCCCGCAGAAAAGCAGAGAAGCGAGAAGCCTGCACGGCAGTCCTGGGCGTTGGACCTCCAGGGGACAGATTCTCTCCCTCCCTCCCTGGAGCGCTTTCCCGCCCGCCACGCCGCACTCACCAGGTAGGACGGAGCTCCTGGGTCTCGCCTGCGTGGATTGCCACAGACCTAAACGGACTAGGAGGCATGTAAAGAACCTGTGCACGTACAGCCACGCATAGACTTATTTTTGCAGAGGTGGGATGGCAGCGCTTTTAATTATTATTTATGTTGGCAGTTATTCCAAAGGGAGGATGTAGGTAATTGGGGAGGGGAGTAGCTGGGGAGGAGGGGGCGGGTAGAGAATGGGAAGTGAGGCACTTGGATTCTCTTTGTACAGGTGGCCATGGCCTCGCTGCCGACGACGCAGGACCCCTTGGTTCCTGACTTATCTCCTGGACTTCTCCCAGCGGCCTCAGCCCCGGGCAATCAGAGTGCGGAGGCCTCGGTGGGCAATGGGTCAGCAGCTGGCGCAGGCGCTCCGGCTGCCACGCCGTTCCAGAGTCTGCAGCTGGTGCACCAGCTGAAGGGGCTGATCGTGCTGCTCTACAGCCTCGTGGTCGTCGTGGGGCTGGCAGGCAACTGCTTGCTGGTGCTGGTGATTGCGCGGGTGCGCCGGCTGCACAACGTGACCAACTTCCTCATCGGCAACCTGGCCCTGTCCGACGTACTCATGTGCACCGCCTGCGTGCCGCTCACGCTGGCCTACGCCTTCGAGCCGCGCGGCTGGGTGTTCGGCGGCGGCCTGTGCCACCTGGTCTTCTTCCTGCAGCCCGTCACCGTCTACGTGTCCGTGTTCACGCTCACCACCATCGCAGTGGACCGCTACGTCGTGCTGGTGCACCCGCTTCGCCGGCGCATCTCGCTGCGCCTCAAGCCGCACCGCGTGCGCCTCTGCGAGGAGTTCTGGGGGTCCCAGGAGCGCCAGCGCCAGCTCTATGCCTGGGGACTGCTGCTCGTCACCTACCTCCTTCCCCTGCTGGTCATCCTCCTGTCCTACGTCCGAGTGTCGGTGAAGCTCC